CCTGGTGGAGGCAGGGATCCAAGAGAGAATGTGGAAGCATTCAAGTTTTCATAAGACTCAAGCTCAGAACTGTATCACTTCTGCCACGTTCTTTGGGCCAACCCAAGTTATAAGGCCAGCCCAGATTCCGCAAGGAGCTGCAAAGTCACATTACAAAAGGTGTGCATACAGGGAGGGATGGAAAATTCAGGCGATTTTGTGATTGATCTTCCATATTACTTAAAAAGCTTTCAATTCCACCAGGAAGCTATAAAAAAAATTCTAAATTTCTACATGCCCCATAAAATATCCTCAAAATATAAAAATGAAAATAGAACTACAGGAGGAAATTGACACAATGACTCTTAGAGTGGGAGGTTTCAGCGTACCTTTTGCTATTACTGATAGGTCAAGTACACACAAAAAATTATTGAAGATATAGAAGAGTTGAACACATTTCTGAGGTATTTAGTCAACAGATGTTTACAGCATACTTTCTGTGTGCGAGGCCCTATTCTAGGTGTGCTGGGCATCTGGCAGTGAACAAGTCAACAGTCCCTTCCTTGGAGAGTTTATACTCTAGTGGAAGGAAACAAATAATAAACAAATAGGTAAAACAAACAAGACAACCATGAAGAAAAACAACAGGGAAAGGGGATATGGAGTGCTTGGCTGTTAGGGTGAGGGATTTAACTAAAATAGCACAGTCGGGGTAGGCGCTACTGAGGAGACACCTGAGTGGAAGCCTAAGAGGTGAGTGAGTGAGTCAGGTGCTTATCTCCAGGACTAGTGGAGGGAACAGAGGCCCTAAAGCAGGAGCTGGTTTGGCAGGTTCTAGCAGTAGACCAGGCAGGCTTGGTAAGGTGGGAAGGGATAGGAATATTGGGGGCCCAATCACCCATGGCTTTATAGGGCACAAGATGGATTTTGGATTTTAGTCTTGGTGATGGGAAGCCCTAGGAGGGTTTTTGTTGGGGGGAGGAAGGATACCGGAGAGCATTAGGGGTGAGGACCCCAGGGGGAAAGATGGCTGCTTGGAGATGATGGTCAGGTAGCCAGACTTTTAGAGGTTGCTGGGTACCAGTCCTTGTCAGGCAACATGTCCCCAGGGAATTCTCCTTGCTTTGCCTTTCAACTACCTAGACAGCAGGTTATTCCCCAAAGGATGTCACAATCTCCAGAGAACATATTCCAATTATGCTGGAAAACAATGTAATTGTGATTAAAGTAGTATTCATCTTCTCCATTCTCAGAGCAAAAACCTATCCAAAGCAAGAACAAAAGGTAACTCCAGAAAGCACTCCTCCCCCGCCTTGGGAAAACCCAGTCAACTATTTATGGTGCTACAGGTTATGTGAAATTATTGTCAGTTTCAAGTCTCTCTCAAGATACAATCTTACATGAAAGAAGGAAATAAATGGGGAGCAGTTAAACAAGTATTTGTTGAGCACCTACTATGTGCTACACACTCTTCTATGTGCTAAGGTTTTAGCAGGAAACAATGATCCCTCCCCTCATAGGGAAGATAAATATATAACATAAACACAAAAATATGTGATATATTAGATGAGATAAATGCCCTGAAGAAAAATTAAGTAGAAATAATGTACATTTTTGGACTAGGGTGTTACAATTTATTTTTTATTTTTATCTTTTTAAAGACTTTTATTTATTTGAGAGCACAAGCAGGCAGAGGCGCAGAGGGAGAGGGAGAATTATGCTCCTCACTGAGCAGGGAGTCCGGTGTGGGGGGCTCAATCCCAGGACTCCAGGATCATGACCAGAGCCCAAGGCAGCCACTTAACCGACTGAGCCACCCAGGCGCCCTGATTATTACAATTTAAATAAAATAGGCTTGGGGGGGGGGTTGGAATATACTAATTGAAAAGAGAGAAGGGTTGGGGAGTGTCAGGGAGGTAAGGGCAGGGCTTGGCTCTCATCTTGTAGGGGCCCTGTAACACAACCACTACAGTGTGCAAGTTTATGATTTATAATCTTACTCCCCATCCTAAGACAAGGAAAAATTTCCTGTAACCAATATGGTAATTTCTGACTTCTAGTTCTCTGAATTCTGTAAATTGGGATACATTTTACTACCCATTATCAGAAAAAGATTACACAGCTACATTTAGCAACTCCAGTTGTGACAAGTCCCATGCCTGGGCTAGAACAAAGACCCAATGATGGCAGGACAGATTCTTCGATTAGTTTTCTTGGCAGGATTTTCTTTTTTCAGCTGAAGCGAAGTATTAGCCCACCTGAGTGGAGCTGCCTGAAGGCCCAGTCTGGACTTCCTCCAGGAAGGGGCCCTAGAATAGGCAGTCTTTAGTGTGAGGCTCAGGAGAGCAGAGAGCCCTGGCACAGCTCTGTTTGGGATTCATATACTAGCTTCCACAGATTAAACACACATGCACTGTTTTCTCCTTTTCAAATCATGTACCATTTTCTATTAGACTCAACAGTGTCTGTAAGTAATAATCGGTATCCAGTGTTTAAGAAAATGGGGATGTCTGGGTGGCTCATTTGGTTGAGCATCTGCTTTCAGCTCAGGTCATGATCCTGGGGTCCTGGGATCGAGTCCTGCATGGGGCTCCTTGCTCAGTGGGGAGCCTGTTTCTCCCTCGGCCTGCTGCTCTTCCTGCTTGTGTGCTCTCTCTCTCGCTGACCAATCTTAAAAAAGAAAATGTTTGATTTCCTCATTAGTTACCATAACTTGAGCAAATGCCAACCTCTCAATTTCCTCACCTGTAAAACAGGGATAACAAGCAGGGATGCAAATGAAGAGCCTGGCATCATACCTGATGTATAATAGGTTCTTAATGTTCTCTCCCTCCCTTCCCCCATCTTAACAAAAAAGATTAGAGTTTAGGTATACTTACAGGTATCCTTTAAAAAATAGGGCTTGTCAACCTTTAATGTGTGGGCCAGTTACCTGGGGAATCTTGTTAAAAGTGCAGGTTCTGATTCAGTGGAGTTGGGGACAGGGATTCTGTATTCCCAATAAGCTTCCAGATTATGCCATGCTGCGGACCTGGAATCACTCTTTGAGTAGCAAGAATTAACACTACACAAATTCCAATAACACAGCTACTGCACAAAAAGCCCCTAAACGGGCTGTGGATTGTCTCTTTCTATAAAAAATTAACTCTTCTATTTGAGCCTCATGTGGAGTCACTGACCCAGCCAAGTAACCAGGCCAGGTCATAAAGAATACATCCTTTGGTCCAGGGGGGTTCACAGCACCACTTCTGCAGGAAGATCCTGCAATTGTCTCTCCTCCACTTTTGGCTTTTTGATCTTAGCCTTTGCCTCTGATGATAATTACCCCTTAATTAGCACCCACCACTCTGTCATCTAAATAATTATGGTAAGTGCGGCTTGCACCTCTGCTGACAATCTCTAAACTGATAAAATAAGATCCTATCCTGATTTTTTAAAAAAGACAAAACTGACCCAAATACAAGTCATGCATATACTGCCCACAGTGGAATACACAGACCTGTTATAACTTCCAGTCACATAAGCTATCAAAAGTTGATTTATTTAGAAACAATCAAGAGAAAGTACTGTTGTGATATCTGGGAAATTGTAAATGTCAGAATATAAATTTTGCAAGGAGTATTGCAAAAGTAATACAAGTCAGCCATGCTAAAATCCACCTTAAATTCCTATTGGGAAGGGCTGCATGATCTCTGAACTATTTTTTCTTTATTCGGAGTTTCCTGAATATATTGGAGAAATCTGGTTAACTTCTGGGTGCATTCAAAGCAAATTATCCTTTTGTGGAAGAAGGGGCGGGGTTTTCACTAGAAGCAATTAGTTTTCTAATTTCCCAGGTGTATCTCCATTAATCATGCACCGAACAGCAGGGCTGTCCAAGCCAGATGAATCATGCACCTCTCTTAGCACGAACTGATTGTACTACTTTTTAGAACGCTGTTTTCCCACTGCAGCTTTTAAAAAAAGACAGAAACTCCCAAATTTCCAACTTTCTGAATAGGTAATACATTGATCTGGAAGAAGAACCCAAACAGCACAAAGGAGTGTACAGTGTAAAATAATACTTTTCTCCCTTATCTCCCACCTCCCTGTCCTCCCCAGAGGCAATCACTGGTTCATTTCTCTAAACTTTTCATTATGGAAAATTTCAGAAACATTAGAGAGACTGGAATAATAAGCCCTTGTGTACGCATCACGCAACAGTGGAAAAACACCCCGCTGGTTTGTTTTATTCTCCCTCCCCCGGTATTTGTTATGAGTTATTTTTCAAGTAAATCCCAGTCTTGAAATCATTTTACCCGTCAAAACTTTATAGTCTTTTTTTTTTTTAGTTCTTACATAACCACATTACCGTTATCACACCCAAGAAGGTTAACGATAATTCCTTAATACCATCCAGTATTCTCGGGGTCACTTTTAACCGGTGCGGGACAGACCCGAGAACTACGAACGTACGGGCCGAGGGGTCGGAAGGGGAGCATTTAAAGCTAGAACCGACATCACTCGCCGCGTTAGGTGCCCAGTGCTCCGAGCTTCCCGGTTCCCGCAGTCGTTACCTGCGCCGGGCCAGCACACGCCAGGCCGGGTTGGAGGGCGGTTCCGAGGCGCGAGCTCCCCGCCTCCCCGCTCTCGGGCCGTGGCCCGAGCAGGCCTGGCGCAGCTGCACAACCCACCGTCCCTAGACACCGGCCGGTCCCTTGGGGGGAAACGATTGACACAGCTGCCTGCACTGCGCCCCCCGGCCCTCCCCCGCGGCACCTGCGTCTCCCGGCGGGGCCAGGAGCTGGAATTGGCTCCCGAGCCCAGGCGAGTCAGCCCCGCCACGACCGCTCCTCCCGCCACCCGCTCCCGCGCCCGGTTCCGAGCAAAGAGACCTCGCGGACCCGGACTACAACTCCCGTCGGGCGCCGCGGCCGGGCCAATGGCGGGCGCCGGAGCATGCGGGGAGCGGCGCCTGCGCGGCGGTTTGAGTAAGCGGCCGCGCGATTGGCTGCGGGGTCGGACGGCCGCGCGGGGCCTGTGGGAAGCGGAGTGACGGAGCGAGCGGCTGTTGGAGGAAGGAGGTGGGGGCCGGGAGTGCAAATGGCGTTGAGATGGTTCAGGGCCCTGTTCAAACTCCAGCGCTGACCATTCACCGGCGGAAACGGCGGCGCAGGAGGCGGCGGCGGCCTAGCGGGGGCACGTAGCGGGCTCCGGTATCGGCTCCGGCGGCGGCGGCGGCCAGGGAGGCCTAGGCCCGGGCCCGGCCGGTGGCGCTCAAGGCGGGGAGGGAAGTTGCGGTGCCGCCGCTCCTCCCCCCCTCCTGCACCGGGTTTCCTATTTACCCAGAGCGGAGTCGCGGGTTCTGACGGTGGCGGAGCCCCTTGCCTCTCTTCCCGCACAAGCCGGCCCTGTTCTCCCGCGCGGGACTCCCGCGCGCGTCCGTGGGCCGTTGGGAGCAGGAGAGGTGGAGGCGGCCCGAGGCCAAAGCACCCGCCAGGCGCCGAGGGTAAGTGAGGTCTCGGGCGGCTGCCTAGGCCCGGAGGGAGGGTGGGGGAGGCAGGGGTCTGGAAGTCTTGCTGTCTCACCCACACAGCCTCTGGGGAAGTTGGGCAGGGGAACGACCTGAAGAACTCTCTTTTCCCTCTTTTATTTTTCCTTTTTCTGAGTTCCTCCGGGCGGCTGCTGATTTACTTCCCTCCCCAAGCGCGGTCAAGTGCGTTGGTTTCAGCCCTGAGCCCTTCGCGGTCTTTCCTCCGCCCCTGGCCTCCACCGAGGCCTTACACTGCCTTGGGGATTCAGTGGCAGAGGCTTCCGGGGCGTCGGAAGCTACATCCCGTTCCTGGCGGTGGGGGTGGGGAGGAGAAAAGTTGCGTGAGCTTCCAGCCGGAGGGGGCCGCCTCTCCCGCTACCTCCGGGTGCACCGACCGCCCCCAGGTGAGGATTTCTGGGTGGTTAGCTTCGCCCTTTCCGGCTTTCACTCCTTAGTGGAAGCCTCTAAGCCCTTGGGGATCCTAAAGACGTTGCACTTGGTTGAGGGTTAACTGTGAGGACTTTTTATCCCAGCGCACTTTCCTGAAAATTCAACCTGGCTTTAGGCAGAAGGAAGGGCCCCACGACCGAAAAAGACTTAGTTGTGAATCATTCTTTCCTTTTTGGTTAGGAAAGTCTTTGGAGTTTGAAGCCTGAGCAAGACAGCCTGTGTATTTGAGATGTACTTAAAATATAATGTCAACTGTGTCTGCACACTTGAATTTATACGTACTTTACATCCTAGGCTTAGATAATGCCATCACAATTGTCTGTCTAGTGACTTTTCCAAAAAGACATGGAAAACTTGAAAGGAAGTCAAAAGTAGGGGATATTACGTAATGAGCACCCTGTATTAATCGTTAAGATTCAACAGTTATTTATTCTTAACCAAGTGTTTCTCATCTACACACTTTCCATTCCACACCCTTTAAAGCTAGAGAACTGCTTACGTTATTTCATTAGTATTTTAGTATATATTTATAAAAGATACGGACTCTTAAAGAACAAAAGCGTGATTTTCTTATCGCTTAATATATTTAACTCCTTTATATCAAGTGTTTGTCTGCAGACTTTCAACTTGCAACAGTGAATGCTTTGTGGTTCCAGGACCATTTTCCTCCTGGGTCCAAAGGAGCTCAAGTCTAGATTTTTGGTTTTTAGGTGATTACTACATTTTTAGGTGATTACTACCATGAACTGTATACAAAACGTTCCAGCTTTGTTGGTGTATATGTAAATGTAGGTCTGTAGATCAGGGCTTTACATTCTTGGAGGAATGAAGTGACTTCATTCTGTTGTTCTTACAGATACCAAATATATTTAGTTTTGTTTAGACTATATGTAACAGGAAAGACAAAGATTCTTTAGCGTAAATCAACAGTAGATCGGGAAATAGATCTCTCTCAGGAAAAGGTTTTGTGTCATGTTAAAAGGTCTTCACACTATTTTCTCTTAATGAAGATCTGTATGATAGTTAACTTTGTCAAATTAGAATTGGTTTCTAACCAAATATGAGAGAGAAAAATCCTCTACTGAATATATATAAAATTAAGTTTATAGTGATATAAGTTCCAAGAATTTAAGTTAGTAAAGGAAAATTGTGTTTAAAGAATAGACCAAAATGGATTCAAAAGTAGAAGTCAAATGTCATTCCTGTTGTTGTATTTTAAATTTCAAGGTATGAAGATTTTCTTTTCAAAACCTAGACAATTGTTCTTTTTTTTAAAGGTGTATTTAATATAGCGATATTTAAACTTTAGAAGGTTGAAGTGTAGGAAATGGATAAGAATTGATAGTATTTAAAAAGGACTAACTCGCTTTAAAAACGTTTTATTCTTGATGTACTGTCCTCAATTTTTTTGTTTTGGTATTTATTATGTAGACACATCAGGTGAGTACATTTATCTCTTATAAAGCAAAGAGGAAAATAAAGTTACATGTTTCTGTTGCTTCGTTTAATAATCAGCAGACCAGTCTAATACGCTGGAGTTCACCAGCTTCAGAAAACATAACTTCAGCAAATGAGCACAGCACTATAGGGACAAGGAAGATAGAATAAGGAGATGACAAACTAGGGAATATTTTTCAAGTCACAGTTCAAACTACATTAGACCAAGAATCAGAATCTTTAAGATTGTTTTAAAAGCTGTAGATTCTAATACATGAGAAAATAGTACCATTTTTCTGACTTTTTTCCCTTTTTTCCCTTCATTTGAATAAATGAAGTTTCAAAGACCTGATCTAGTCAGTTATTTGATATTTCTGAGATCCTGAAAAATAACATTTTGTGTTTAAGATTTTATATTAGGAGTAATAACCCTATTCAGATTATTTTTTTAAGGTAACACTGATATTTATAAGAATAGTGCATAGATTCATTTGAAACTTAAAAAAACTGATGTTCCGCTCTTAAATTGGTTTTGGGGATAAGTTGGTTAGTCATTAGACTTAATTACTTTGTAAGTAGTTTGTGAATATGTACTCATTGAAATAAGGAAATTGAGATCTGGAAATCTATAGGATAAAAAATGAGCCCCTTTCTTTATACACCCTCCCCATATTTATTTAACCATTTTTAAAGGTTTATATCTTGAATGTTGAAAAGCCCCATGGGGAGACTCCCTGTTTCTTTTTTTTATATTCAGTGTTAACATTTATTAAGTATTTGGTGATTATATATATTCTTACATTTTTTTTTCCCACAGAGAATATGAAACAGGTGTCAAAATGACATCCAGATTTGGGAAAACATACAGTAGGAAAGGAGGAAATGGCAGTTCAAAATTTGATGAAGTCTTTTCCAACAAACGGACCACCCTTAGCACAAAATGGGGAGAGACCACATTTATGGCTAAATTAGGGCAGAAGAGGCCCAATTTCAAACCAGATATCCAAGAAATTCCGAAGAAACCTAAAGTGGAAGAAGAAAATACTGGAGATCCTTTTGGATTTGATAGTGATGATGAGTCTCTACCAGTTTCTTCAAAGAATTTAGCCCAGGGTAAGGGTTCCTCTTACTCAGAATCTAGTGAAGCTGCTCAGCTGGAAGAGGTCACTTCTGTACTTGAAGCTAATAGCAAAATTAGTCATGCAGTGGGTGAAGACAGTGTTGTATCTGATAAATGCTTACATTTGGAAGAAACTTTGGTTGGGAAAGAAAAGAGCACAAACCGTATCGTAGAAGATGATGCAAGCAAAAGTAGCTGTGCTAAATTAATGACTTCAGGTAAGTTTTTGAATTTCTTTATTCTGAGCCAGAAGAGCTTTGTGTAAGCCATTCAGTTACATGCTTTAAATTCTAAAATACCATGCTTCTTGGGTTTTCTTTCTGCATTTGTGATTAATGGGGACTATAGATAATTTTGTAGAAAAGACTTAAGAACTTTAAAGAAACCAATTGGGGGTTGAAATTTTACTTAAGCAACTTGGACATTAATGTTTCCAGGCTGTTACTCATGGTACATTTTGGGAATCGTTTTTCCAACATCCCTAACTCCATTTCCAGCAAGAAACATCTCTTTTTGTTGTCTTAGGATGACAGTATCTCATTTCTGTTACTGTGGAGGATTTGTATTGTTAATGATAATGGAAATGAGATGAGCATTTACAATGAGGATTAAGTTTAGGAGTGTTAGGCTTTCCTTCAAAACTAGTTTAGAAAGATCAAGGAGGTATTGTGGAAACCTTGAAGAATTGAACTTCATTGCAATCTGAGATTTGTTTGGAGTCTGGTGCTGGTAGCAACTTGTATTAATAGATTTTAATCCACAAAACCAGTTGTATTTTTAAAGTGTTAATTTGTAAATCTGGCATCTAGAGTTCATTCAAAAAACAATATATTTTGTCCGTTTTACCTCTAGTCCTTTTGTAAAAGACTTGAGACTTACAGTAGCTGGTAAAAGTGCAATTAATTAAAAGACCAAAGAACTGAGATTGGAGGTAGCAGGAGAGATAGCATGCTTGCTTTATTAGCAGTAGGACAAGGATGGCACTGTGGTTGAAAACAGACCTTAGATTTCAACTTCCTGGCAAGGTTTGGTGATACAAAAGGTTATATAGATCTCATATTTTGAAAGGAAGTAAAGACAAAACTTCCTAGTACTGAATTCTTTTTTTTTTTTTTTGAGAGAGAGAATAGAGAGAGAGAGAGAGCACATGAGAAGGGGGAGGGTCAGAGGGAGAAGCAGGCTCCCCGCTGAGCAGGGAGCCCGATGCGGGACTCGATCCCAGGACTCCAGGATCATGACCTGAGCCGAAGGCAGTCGCTTAACCAACTGAGCCACCCAGGCGCCCCTAGTACTGAATTCTTAAGAGGAGTTTGTCCTTGAGGCTTAATATAAGTGCCTCAAACAGTATAATAAAAGACTTTGCCTTGCATAGTTTTACTAAAAATGCTGAACATTTTTCACTCTTTTTCTCACCCTTGGATGAGAGGATGAGCCAGCTGTTACTGTCATTCCCTTGATTCTCCCGGTTAATTCTGATTTGGCTGTTCTTATGCTTTGCCCACATTTTCTTCCGAAGCATTGTTCAAAACTTAAGGTTAGGATAAACTTTCATTAAAAAAATAGCTTAAAAACTTTTTCCCAGATCAGCTCCTAAAAACATAATCATAGGACTGTTGAACCAAAATAAACTAACTCAGGTCTCTTTACTTTATAGATGAGGCTCAAAGAGGTAAAGTGACTATCCAAGGGTGGCTAGTGGCACAATTAGAATGAGATTTATTTATCAATTTTTAACATGTTGAGCGCATACTGTGTGCCCTGCACTGTGATAGGCTGTGGGAGTGCTGTTCCACTTCAGTTATCCAGTGTTCTTACTGCTGTGTCTTGACCTCCGATAGTTAATCCACAGTTGGGGTACATAGCCTGGAGGAAGGAAGATGAGGCTGAGGAAATGGCGAAACTGGTCAAGGAAGGCAGACACAGCTTCCCCAAGTGCTGTCTTTGTGAGAACAGGGCATCACTGGCAGGCAGAGGGTAATGGGATGAATGTTTAGGTAGAGGGACAATACAAACTTAGAAATTAAATATACGTAGACAGCAGTTGCTTATATAGTTTTGCTAATGTTAACATCTGTATCTGTCCACACTGCCATATGAAGTTGTTAGGGGAGAACTGGAAGCAGTTTTCTGTAGAAATGAGATACTAGCTTCCCAGTCTGATACAGCTAAATTGTAGTGCTGCTGCTAACTGTGGACTGACTGGGAACCCAGACTCCGTTATCATAGTTTTGTGAGGAGAAAATGTGTACTAAAATACAGATGAATAGATGTTTGAGAACATCTTGTCCCTCTTCCTTCTTCACGAGGTATCCTTAGTGGAAAGGGCATGGGGCAGCACTATGCATATTTTTTTTTTCTCTTTTCCCTTGACCACCCAGAGCTGCAGCAACCCTGCCAGCCCTCTGTAGGATAAGAAGAGATCCTTGAAGGAATGCTTTTAGTTCTCATGGTAGTCATCTTCTAAGTTCTTAAAAACCATTTATAGGTCTGTATGTTTATAAGTTGATTATAGTTTTGGAAATGCTTGTGTATGTTGTAACCTTCCTTTTCTTTACCCCTATCCTCTTAACATTTGGGCATTTCCCTGTTTCTAGACTTCTCGCATTATGTCTGTCAGATTGTCATCGCCTTTACTCTCCTTGAGCAAGCCTTCTGGTTTTAGTTGAAGTTTAGAAACCCAAACTTAAATTTTTTATAAAGGGGGTCTTTATAAATGGAAAGTGGTTGCTAACCTTTTTTGAACTAAAGATCCTTTGAGAATGATAAAATTTTGGACTCAAGATAAAACTGTATGTGTTAATGTCTCAGAACTCCCTTGCAGGTCATTTTTACACACTTTATTCAAGAGCCTTTGAGAAATTTTGTGGTAAAGTTTGTTCAAAGTGCACTAGCTAAATTCCATAGTATCCTTCCAGTGGAATTCAGACCATTTTCACTGTAGAATTATATCACATCAGTGAAAAGGCCTTATCCAAGTTCAAATTTACTGTATCACTTCTCCTGGCATTAAGTTAAGGTGCATCTCTTTCTCCAAAGGGGAATATGTAGTTAATTTTTAGCTACTATTAAAATTCTTTCATATATATATTATAATATTTTATACCAGGTAGCACTTTTAAAAACTGTGGCTTATTTGGAGAGGAAATGCAGAATGAGGTCATGATAAAATGTATTATTGTTACCATTTTCCAAATAGATGTTTGATGGGAAAGAGAATTAGAAGCAAGATTACAAACTGTGAATGAGAACCGGAAGGAAGGGTTGAGTTGCTAAAATGTCCCTAACTTTTCATTTAAAAAACAAAACACTTAGGGGCACCTGGGTGACTCAGTCGGTTAAGGGTCTGCCTTCAGCTCAGGTCATGATCGCAGGGCCCTGGGATTGAGCCTCCTGTCAGGCACCCTGCTCAGTGGGGAGTCTACTTCTCCCTCTTCCTCTGCCCCCCCCCCCCATTTGCTCTACACTTTCTCCACCTCCCATCCTGGATGATGATGATTATTATTTTTAAAGATTTTATTTATTTATTTGAGAGAGACCGAGATAGCATGAGAGAGCATGAGCAGGAATGAGAGGGAGAAGCAGGCTCCCTGCGGGGCTCGATTCCAGGACGCTGGGATCATGACCTGAGCCGAAGGCAGACGCTTAACCGACGGAGCCACCCAGGTGCCCCCTACTCCCTGGATTATTTTGAAGATTTATGTATTTATTTGGGAGGGTGGGCAGCGAGGGAAAGAGAGTGTGTGTGCATGGTGAGAGGGAGAGAAGCAGACTCCCTGCTGAGCACGGAGCCCAGATGTGGGACTTGGGGGCTTGATTTCATGACCCTGAGATTATAACTCAAGCTGAAATCAAGAGTCAGACCGTTAACCAACTGAACCACCTGGGTACTCCTCCTTGGATTATTACTATGTTTTATTTTTTAAAGATTTTATTTATTAGGGAGAGAGAGCACACATGCAACAGAGGGAGAGAGGAAGAGGGAGAAGCAGATTCCCCGCTGAGCAGGGAGCCTGATGTGGGGCTCCATCTCGGGACCCTGAGATAACCCGAGCCAAAGTCAGATGCTTAACCAACTGAGCGCCCCAGGCACCCCTCCCTGGATTATTTTAATGCAGATTCAGGACTTGTATTTTATCTGCAAATACTTAAGTTGTAATTGCTGCTCAAGTGAGTTCTCAAACAGGTGTGCCACTTAAAATGGCCCTTAGCAGGACCTAAAGGTTTGCCCTTCTAAGAGGTCTTGGAATATTCTTTAAAGTGTTGAATCCAGGGCTGTGTGCATTAGGGGCAAAAGAAGGCTTCTCTTGCTTTTTGTATGAGGCTACTTCCATTTTCCATCTTTGTGCTTTCTGCTACAGGTTTTTAACCTGGACTCTAGAATAAAGTATGTAAAGACTTATATTTCTACTTGGCACACTTTCCTTGCCAGCCAGCTGGGATTCAGTCTACACATCCTGCCAAATATTGAGATAACTACTGCATAGTCTCTTAATTTGCATGACTGGTTTTGTAGCCAGTACATTTTTTTCATTTGCTTAAAGCTGTACCGAGTGTTTGTGTGTTAGAGGGATGTTATTGTCAGGAATTTAAGAACTTTGATTTGGAACTGAAGCTGATTTTTAGAAAGGGATGCATTGTTCTATTCCTGAAAGCTTAAAGTAGGCCAGGAACTTGTGAAGTGAGATGAGATTTTCATCTGCTTACTGGATAAAGTATAGGTGATTAATGAGGATTATTAAAGAAGTCTGAAAGTATATCATCAACAGTTTCTAGCTTTCATTTAGGTATTGAATGTATTTGTTTAGAATATATTTAAGTCATACCTAAAATTCTTTTAAGAGAAGTAGATAAGAGACCTGTTATTTATTTAGCTCCTACTTTATTTTGAGCCCTTTATAGATTAGTCTGTCCTTAATCACAACTATATAAGCCAGGCTTTATTTCCATTTTATAGAGGGTAAAGCACAGGTCAGTGAATAATTTGAATTATTAGCAGAAGATCTGAAAAACAACCAAAATGTTATTTTCATGAATGAACATAATTTTATCATATTTAAAGACTTATATTTAAAATAACATGTCACTGGGGCGCCTGGGTGGCTCTAGATTTTGGCTCAGAGCAAGCCCGGCATCTGGCTCCTTGCTCAGCGGGGAGTCTGCTGGAGATTCTCTCCCACCCCGCCCCCCAACTCGTGCACTCTCTCTCTCTCAGATAAAT